AGTAAGGCTTGTCGATATGTTTTAAATTGTAATATGAACAACAGATCGTAACATAAAAAAGATCAAATTTTAATAATGCTTTGATTTGGAGGGGTATTAACATCCACTTCGAATTATACATGCTCAACTGTGCGATGTGTTTGATGACTATAAACTTAAAAAAATATTAAAATTTATATTTTATGTATTAAATTTTTCAATCAAAATAACAAATAAGATTTTTTAGTAAAATCAAGAATAAAATGTGCATCTGATTTGTAAAATTGCGAAGTGGAGAAGCTGTTACTCTTTTCTTTCTTAAGAATTCAGTGATCATTTAATCTAGAAATTTTTTTTATAAATTAATAGTAGAAATTGTTGTATAAAATGTTTTAATGCATATCAATTTTTGTAAAAATAATTTAAATTTTATCATATTACAAACAATTTTACTATTATTTTTGATTTCAATTTTAACTATTTAAAAAAACATTCGCAAAACATTTTTTTAATATTTTTATCTGAGCATTTCATTAAAATAGTTACAATTTAAAAAAAAGACTTATTGTAAAATTTCTCCCACTTTCAACAATTAAAAAATTATTGATCCAAGTGAGTAAACATCTTTTTTGAATCATTATGTATGAAAAAAAAAAAAAACTTATTATAGCAATAGAAATATAGGGCAGAATGGTCATTATGGAATAAATTATAGATTTTATAAAATTAGTATTTAAAAAAAATCGCTTACTGGGATAAAAGTAAAAAAATTCAAAATGGCATCGTTGACGAATAATTTAATGACTGTTTACTGTTATAAAATTAACATTTATTTCACTGTATTCAGATTGCTTACCATAAAACATAAACTTAATGATTGTCGCTGAGTTGATTTTTATTTTCTCATGGTCGCACTATAGCTCTGGTCTTCTATAGAAGACCAGAGCCTATATTAGCTAATATTTTATTAATGGTAATTAAAATTTCCCTTGTCTTCTAAAAAAATTTTTTTTTTGTTAAAAATTATTCTAAAATTTCAAATTTTGTTTCATGTAATAAATAAATACATTTTATATGAAAGTTAGGAAATGAAGTATTTTAAAATTTTAAGGACAATTACTCTTAAATTCTAGTGATCTGGAACTAATTCTATTAAATATATGCCAAGCTAGTGACTACGTGTTTTGTCGCTTCAACAGGTGGAAGCACAACTGTCAGTCAATAACTTCTCTCTAATTTCTTTCCTTTTGTAAATTTAAATAATAACTTATAATTTATACCATATAATTTTTTTTTATTTTATTTTTTTTTTTTTATTGCTTAACCGCGTTTGATGAACATATGGTTTCATTGCACATTGCCTCTTATTATTTAAATTATTATGATCTCGATAGAAGAATAAAAATCTAAATTGAAATTATTTAATTTTTGGAATAATGCAAAAAAACGTAAAAATCAATATCAGATCAAATAGTTTAAAATTATCAAAACACTTTAAAAAATTTTGTGTTTCGACAAGTAATCGTTTATTATATTTTATTTCATAATTTCTCAAAGGCAGAAAATTAAATATACATGTAAAAGCTATAATATGTATTATTAATATATGAATAAATATGATAGCTTGATAATCACTGTTAAGTTAGTATTAAATAGGTGACAGAAAAACGTGAAATTTTTTAAAAAGAATAAAAGAAATGCAATTTTTCTTATATAACCGAAATATGTGGAGCCGATATGTTTCAAACCGTAATACAGACAACAGATGGCAGCACCACTGTAAAGTTTAAAAGCAAGTATCTGAAAATATTATATTTGTTGCAAAGGTCGCAGGCGAATTGGAAAATCCGGCTTTTTGCAAACTGCCGAAGTTTAGTTAGACTTATTGAGATGAGTAATAGATTTGAAAGAGGAGAGAGAAAAAAAAAAAAAAAAAAANAAAAAAAAAAAAAAAAAAAAAAAAAAAAAAAAAAAAAAAACACTTGTTATTATTTTAATTGAAAAAAAAACTCCTTCAGTTTGCGGAACTATGTCTATGCCTACCACAGCCTACTGCAATTTTACTGCTGAAAAATCACAGCTTTTTTTTAAAATTATTTTTTTCGTAAAACTGTTTCGTTAGAAATTTTGTTCAGTCTCCCCACAAGAAGGTTTCCCATTTTTATTTTATTTTTCTTAATTTTGCAGCATGTAAATAAACGAATATTAAAGCTTATGTACTTAAAATATTTAAAAGTCAAATAAATGGTATTATAACAAAAATTTTGTTTGTTTAAATTGTTTAATTATGGTTGTGTAGCAATTGTTTAATTATGCAGGGATATACTCAGATATCACCATCAAAGGACGACAATTATTTTCAAAAAGATAAATGTCTCTTTAATTTGGAACTATAAATTTTTTAAAATAGTCTTTTTTCTTATGTTTATGTTTTTTCTTATGTTTTATTTAAAATATATAGCATTTTACAGTTTCGTATTTTTTGTGGACCGTAAGAATCGATCAAATTATGGTAAAAAGTACTAGTACTCAGAGTGCCGCTACTTTTACCGTAAAATAATTTTTACCGGTTCATGAAAAAAAAAAAAAAAAAAAAAAAAAAAAAAAAACGATATTCACTAATATAATTACTTGAAAATCACTGAATAATAAGGTACAATATTTTACGGTAAAAAAGGATTTTACGGATGATACACTTAAATGTCGGTACTTTTTACCGTAATTTGGTCGATATTTTTTTCTCATTTTTTCCTTATAAATTAACTCAGAATTTTTGTTAAATATTTTCTTTCATACTTCTTTTTATTATTTTGTATAATTTAAGTCAAAATGAATGAAAAATATCATATTTAGCATTTTAATAATTAATGGTTTCCAAATACAGCATGAAATACTTCTTTTTCTGCGCAAAGGGTAAAATTTTCAAAACACAACTCACTTCTAAACAATAATTTTTCTCTTTTAAATTTGCTTTATTTGAATTTTATATTTTAGTACCAATATAATTCCGATAATCTAATAGATTTTTTTGTGACTATTAGACTGTTTCTTATACTTAAAAAGTACCAAAATTTGTTAAATCTTAAAAAAATATAGAAAAAGAGACAATCGACATCTGCTTCAAAAGGTTAAAAAGCAATAACAAAAATATTAATCAAAATAGAAATAATTATAGCTTACATTTCGTTTAAATGACTTTTAAACTAAAGAACACTGGTCATATCTTTCCCAACAGCAAAAAGTTTTGCACTTTTTTTAATAACAAATATTATATAATATAAATTTACTTAAAAATATTTTAAAAATAAATATTGTTAAAACTTAGTAAATATTTGTTTTCCATTGTTCTAAGCGACTGAACCATTTCTACGATATAAAAAATGCATTATTCCTGCGGTTATAAGGATATGTTGATATGGAACATTATATGGATAAGGAACCATAAATGATTGAACTTATTTTGGCGAAACCCCCAGCATTATATAAAAAAAGTTCATTAGGAGCTGTGAGTATACTATCAATATAAAAGACTTTCAATTATTTTCGAATATTTTTAATTTGTAGAATTAAATATTCAATGTTATGATTTTTTCTGGTGTATGCAGATGCTGAAAATGAATAAAACTTGTGGTTTTTGGTTTGAAGGTTTGAAATATGTTTGAATTAAATTATGGTTTAAAAAAAAGAGAAGAAAGACTGATATAAGAGATGAGAATTAGCTATCAGAATAACGTAATTATTTAATCTTGAATTTAGTTACTTTATTTCTCGAATTAACAAGCTCAATGACAAATATTTATTCGATTCTTATAAATGCGTAACCTTTTCATAATTCATGAAATATATTGTTATTGAAATAAATAAATTTAAAATTTTGCTACATTTTTTTTCCTTCGCAATTGACACAACAAAGTTCAATTAAATAAGGACAGTATTAAATAAATTGTGCATTATTTATTGGAAATAAATANTTTCTTGTTATTATTTTCACCAGACTCAATAGTTTTATTTAATTTTATAACTGTTGGTAAACAGCCAGCCTAATTTTGAGCTCAAATTAGCATACTGTAGTTTATTTATTTTTCGCTGTTTAGATCATCAAGTTATTATTCTCAAACTATCAATGCAATAGTTGATAGAATCAATCAATCAATTATCATTCCCTTTACAAACATAATACAAAGAATCAAATGGAGATCAAGAGGATACAGGCAAGAGAATTAACATAACTTCATTTATTTTTCTATATTTATAAGTATGAAAAATCATGAAGAATCATAAAGAGTTTAAAGGAATGAAGTCGATACAAACAATCAATAAATTAGCTATTAGAATAAGAGAAATAAATTTTTGAACTTTAACGATATACGGTGACCATAATGTGCACATTTCCTGGGTCAATCGCGGAAACTCTAAATTTTGCACTTTAACGGATCTCCTTAGTTAATTTGCAGATTGGCTAGGAAATGCGATATTAATGTCTTACGAGGTTAATCGGAAACACATAAAATAATAAAATATTTTCTTATACAGTTCTTTTTTATTTTTATATTTTTTTGTTTTTAGTGTAATAAATAACTCAAAATAGGTAAGCAAAAAAATGCATTCTTCGTTAATTAAAATTTTTTAATTTTTGAACTTTAACGATATACGAGGACCATAATGTGCACATTTCCTGGGTCAATCGCGGAAACTCTAAATTTTACACTTCAATGGATCTCCTTAGTTAATTTGCAGATTGGCTAGGAAATGCGATATTAATGGCATACGAGGTTAATCGGTAACACATAAAATAATAAAATATTTTCTCATACATTTCTTTTTTATTTTTATTTTTTTCTGTTTTTAGTGTAATAAAGAACTCCAAATAAGTAAGCAAAAAAATGCATTCTTCGTTAATTAATTTTTTTTAATTAAAATTAAAAGTAATATTCTTTTGTTTTTAAGCATTATTTATTGAATAGATTTTTTACTAAAGTTCATGTAAAATATCTTTTTTGAAGCATTGAAAAACCTTGAAATGTAAATACAAAATATATCTTTATTATACTAACTATACATCGAATAAAAGTAAAGAAAACTGTTAGTAATTGCGTAGCATTACACAAAGTATAATCGTAGATCATGTATTATTAAAAAAATAGTAATGGATTACATTTGTAATCGCAGTCAGAGCCGGAGTACTCAGATTGTAAAAACTCAGTAAATGCATCATTGCAGTAACGTTCAGTCAGTTACTTCCATTTTTTTACAATAAATTTATTCTTAGTATTGCAGTTTTGAATACGACGTAGTGCTCAGACAACACATAGGGTGAACACATAGGCTGAACACATATGACAACACATATGAAACGCTTGGTTATAAAATCAGCTCAATTCATTTTCAAATTTTTTTTTGGTTGTCGCCGGAAAAAGAAAAAAAATTTTCTTGTAAATTGAGAGAAAAAAGAAAATTGTATTTTGAAAGATCATGATTTAACACACAACAAAATTATTTTGCTGATTTTAGGGTTCAGTTATTATGTTCAAGTTATTATGAAAAATTGGTTGTAGAGAAATCCGAGACAGAGGCTGAACTGTATCACTGAGTGGATCAAATCAATTATACGTCGCCATTTTGTAGTTGTGAATGACAACTAGTTGTTTGCATTATTCTCATTAGACTATTCGTATTCCTATATAAATAGAAAACGCTTTCCTATTGGCTGCTCTGTAACTGAATGACCAGTGCATGGGTAAAGGACATCATTTTAGACATCTTTATTCGATTACATTCCCTATTTTGTATTTCTGATTTGTATTCGCTGTTTCGTTATACGTTAAAAGCAAAATTCGTAAAGTATTTTTAGAGAAATTAAGTAAAATTAAAGCAAAAAATTGGTTTGTATCCTTTCGATATGGCAATCTATATAAAAATCTGTAACTCCACGTAGAATTCATTGCAAAAAGCAGTTAATAATAAATAATGTCTAGTAAAAAATATAATTTTTTTTCGATTGACTTGCACTTTCTCTAGAAAATAGAATATTTTGAGTTTAAATTTTGTTTAATATTCCATTAAAAAATGGCGATTTTCAAAAACTAGTTTTAATTATTTATGTTTTCTTTTAAAATAATTGAGCTGCTTTTAAAACCAAGCGCTTCATATTTACATTTTACCGCTAGCTCCTCTTCAAAGTTCAAAGTCATTTAGATGAAAAGTTATTACGTCTTTGAGTTGACGTACATATGGATTCCATTGAGCAACATCCGACATAGACTTCCTGAAGCTATAACGAACAATGCAGGAAAAATCCACGAATCTGTACTGCGAAACAAAGTGTTGTAAATGTAGCTGAATGTTCTGTTATGTCGTATCTGTATAAGACGTTTGTCATCAGAAGACACGGTTTCAACGGAAGATGGTAAACAAGACATTCTTCTTAGTTATCTGGAAAAAAAAAGAACAAGGTGTATAATGAATACAAAGTGGAAAAAAGCATGTGTAGTGATTGAAAAGATGCGTATGTACGAAGTTGAACGAACCGGGAAGAACCTGGAACCGCCAGTCTCAAGTTGAAGCGTTTTGAAATTAAAATTGTTATCATATTTTGTCTCAATTTTTTTGATATAGTGAGCTTTTAGCTATTGGAATTCAAAAAGAAAGTTAAAAAAAATTGAATTTAGCCAAAACTTGAAAATATGCATTGATTTGAAAAAAATAAATACTATAACACGAAATTATATTTAACTGAGATATTTTATCTTAAAATTTACTAAATTCTCTAGCAATTTAAATGATCTACACGTTAGAAAACGTCACATCATGGACTCTCTATATTTATTATTCAAAGGATTGAAAAACATTTTTACTAAGTTCATAAAAAAGTAAAAAGTTTTGGTTTCCTCTGGTTAAGAATTTGAATCAAACTAAAATTATGGGGAACATTTTGAATAAAAGATCAAACTATAAGAATGGAATGTTCCAGAAAATAAACGTGAGTTAATGTTTACTTCGAAATACTTGAGATTAAATTAAGGTTGGCGCTATTGAATTAAGGCTGCGTCGTCGTGTAAAATGTTGATTTTTTGCGAATAATATGCCATTTTCATAACTGATATGAGTTTGCAACAGTTACTTATGACTATTAGATCAAGTTTAGCTCACCTATAGTGAGCGCTACTTATGCTTTCTTTTGAAAAAGGCTCAGAACGTCAATAGGGAGAAAGGCTACAATTAAAAAAGGAAAAGCATTTGAGGACTAATTTTTTAATACTTAAAAATTTATTCCAATGATGTATTATCTGGGTTCAAAAAAATTTGCAAAAACTGAGAAAAAGGCCATTAATTTGATAATTTTCATTTTGGTAAATAAATGCCGCCAACTTGGTAAATTTTAAAAAATTTTCAATAACTTTTAAACAATTTAAGTTTATCCATTCTTAAGCCCAGATACTTCTTCAATGCCAGATGTTATACATAGTGTAAAATGAAAGCTTTGTTTTTCGTGTAAGGCATTTAAAACGCGGCTTTTTTATTTTTCTTGGCGAAAGAGATTTGAAAAATCATGTTAGCATAAATTTTGCATACTACGGGGACCGCCAAACACGCCGATAATAGCGCTAACGCGTGAAGGTAGCGGGTTTAAATCACGCCGTAACCCTTGATGTACCTTCTCGCTGTTCTTTGAATTGTTCCATCTGTTCTTCTACTTAACTAAGGATTATAAACCGTATTTATGTAATTGAGTACACAAGCCTGCATATGTATGTGTACTAATAAATAAAATATATTTGCTTAGCACTGTTTTTGATTGGAGAATTAAAGATTTCTTAATTGTGTTACAAATGTTTTTTCTTGTATATTTACACAACGTTCCTTAGTAAACGTACTAAATGCTTCTTGCTAAGCATACAAGAGAAATGTCTATAATGCTACTAACAGTTTCTTGGTATGGTTACTTAGGAAGTCGATGAGTCTTTCTAAGTATGATCCTGTTATACAACTTAAAAAGAAACTGTAGGTATTACTAAAAAAACTAGTAGAATTCCAGTCTTTTAGTGGTTTTCTAATAAATACAACAGTTTCTAATAAATACAACAGTCTGTCTAATAAATACAACAATTCCACTGTAAAAAAGGGTTTCTCTTAATTCAGCAAAAATGTGTTAAAATAGCTCTGCGATACATATGGTCGAATTTGGAAACCCATTTACTCATTGTTGAGCATATTGACATGTTCAAAATGATACTTCATCCTCGAAAGGGACCAAGTTCAACATTTATTAGTTTATTATGATCGAACTTTCGAAAAGTAAATCTAATTAGATAAAAGCTTGCAGCACTTACCTTCATTCTAAATTTATTTCACGAATAAATAAAGTTTTTATATAATCCACACTTTCTTACAATCCCTCCATGTTTATTTACACATGGAGATGGATTTTCAGCGCTGCTTCAATTTTGAGCATGCCACTATACTCAATGAAGAACACATAGGGCTTTCATGTTCGGCTATATTTATTTCGAGCTAATTTAACACATTTTGAGAAACACTTTTTTTTACAGTGTGGTTAAATTTAAGAGAAAACAAGGTTATATTAAAGCATAATTAAATTTGCTGTAAATGTTTCATTATCAATGATTCACGAAGTCGATAGTATGGTTTAACGTTGAGCTGATTTTTCTGAAAGTATAACACTGCACCTAACTTTAGGGTGTCCACTATGTACGTTCTCCTCTTCGTTGTATATACGATACATACTTCGTTGTATACACGTTGTATACATGTTGATTTGTGTATATACGATACACAAAAAAGAGTATTTTAAAATTGAGCAAAAATGTGTCAAAATATATAAGCAACATAGTGTAGAATCGGAAAACATTATGTATTCATTATTGAGTGTAGTGACGGGCTCAAAACAGCATATACTCATTTTCGTGCAAAATGCCTAGTATAAAAAAGAAACATCATATACACAGTTTGATTAATTTGTGTCGTTAAAAGAAGGTAGGCACTGAAAAATGAGTATATGCTGTTTTGAGGACGTACTCGACAACGAGTAAAATAGGCTTTTACATTCGGCGATATTATTTCGAAGCTATTTTGACGCATTTTTGTTTAATTCGGAAAAAGCTTGTTTTTTTTGCAGTGTATATTTTGCATCCTCATTTTAGTGTTTGTTTCTACTTTAAAAACTTATATAACTTAGCATAACTTTATAACTCTTATAACTTTATAACATACTTTATAACTTAAATAACTTTTGAAACTTAAAATGATCGTTATCATTATTTGTTTAAATTATTAAAAAAATTAAACTTAAAATGTTTTATGTAATAATAATATTAAATGTTTCTTCATTAAAAATCATAGGCAAGATATTCATAATAAACGCATGCGGAAAATGTAAATTTTGAACAAATCCATCACGCAAAAAATTTTATGACTTAATCAAAAAAAAAAAGTATACTAATTAAAATACTATGTAAAACAATTCGAGAACAAAGGTAGCTGCATACAAGATTCTTACTTAGTTTTGATACTGGTAATGATTTGCTAAAAAAAACTTACGACCTCAATTTTTCGAGGCAAAAAAAATTTCTAAACTTAATAAAAATAAAAATAACGAGAAAATTTTTTTCATCATTAAAATGCCATATCATTGCGAGAAGCACATACTTTACTACCTGTCTCGGATCAGGTAATGTCTACTTAACTTAATCGTAACTCTTTTGATGATATCTTTTAGTGTAACCTTATGGTATCACAGATTCCGAAATTGATGTCTTTATACACGCCATTCTTTAAGAAAATCTATTGTGTTTGTTTTTTATTTCCTTGGAAGAAGTCATGTTGCTACAATAAGCACCAGATTTATATATTCAATTAAAAAAAGTAGGTTAATGATTTGTTTAAAATAGCGTACATTTTCTCGGTCGGAATTCAACTTGAATTTTAAGGGTCACTTGTATTAAATGTTAAAAATATTTAGATTTTGTAATTTGAAATTGTTAGATTTCAATGATTAAACAAGCGTAATTTTTTGTTAGTTTTTTTTAAAACTTTATTTTATTTCAATGCTTCGTTCTATAATTTAAGCAAAAGAAACTCAACAAAAACCTTATCTCTACATAACATAGCACAAAGAAATGTATAAAAAGTTTCCATTCTAATGTTAGACTACGTAATAGGTTTCGCGAAGGGTAATCAAGACGGTTTCAGCGCCATGCTACGGTAAAAAGTTTAACTGCTACTTAGATGGATGTCCTTATTGTTTTTTATTATTATTATTATTAATAAACTTCATGAATTTATCAAAAGTCGTTCGGTTATTTGCTTCATTTTAGAACCATAAAATCCTTAGAAGTTAATTCTTTAGGAATTCTGTGTGTTAATGTAGACAAGTTTAAACGTTAAATATTAAATTAAGTTAAAATATTTTGAAATCTCATCATTTTTCTTATTTTTAAGTTTATATATATATGTAGGTTTCAATACCATAGTGTAACAACTTCGAACATTACGTCATCCACCATCTTGTAATATTAAAGGAAGTTGCATCATCCTCTTGACATTGAGAGGCGCCAGCCAGACCAGAAGGGGAAGTCCCGAAGGGAAACTCCCGAATTTATANAAATTTTATATTGCGTGAAATTAATTTATTCCCTTTATCTCACAATTTTTAAAATAATTAAAACAACTTATTTTCATAAACGCTTTGCTACTAATTTTTTCTACAATGGTAGAATTATATTATGTCAAATAAAAAGTAATTATTGTTTATAATTTTTTTAAGGGAAAAGATTTCAACTTCTTTGATAAAATTCTATAGAATAAATAGATAAATATGTTTTTACCTGTATGTATTGTATATCTTTTGTATCTTGACTGAACAATTTTGACCAATCAAAAATGCTTCGTGAAATAAATAGAATGTAGCGGTCTTGATTTTCAATCCTCACCCTGAAGCTTTTTTATTTTCTCCTAGAAACCTGCAAAGAATTTGAGGAAACTCAATAAATAACATATAAAAATCAGTTTTCAATTTTATTTCTGCATTTTCGATATTATTTCAAAAGCATATTAAATGAATTGCATGAGGAATGTTGCTCAATAAGTTGTATACATTTATTAACACACATTAACACACTAACACACTTAGGTACATTTTTGAAATTAACAGTCAGACTGTCAAATCAATAAAAAGATTTTTTTAGAACGAACGAACTTGTAAATGATGAAACGGTGGTTAAGTAAAAGAAAACTATTTTAGTATTGAATTTGAGAGCATCGGTGTTTAAAAAAAAATAACATTTTACATAAAAAATACGAATTAAACATTGTTTAATGAAGAACATTACTTGAACTGCCTAAAAATTGTGAAAAACAAATCTTCAGTCATTACGTGATAACACTTAGTACTTTGAATAAAAAAGTTTTTATGAAAAAATATTGATAGTTATTGAAACATTAAATTTAAAATAAAAAAAAAAAACATTTTTTGTAATGCATTTTATAGTTACACTTTTTGAGAAAATTAAATTACACAATGTTCTAGAATGTACATATTATATTTTTAGTGTTGTTAATAAATAACAAGGAACTACGAGTACGGTACGTACTTTCAAAATTGATAAATTTTAATAAAATTGAAATTAATTAAAAAAAGTGTGAAATTGAGTAAGATGCTAATAAATACCTCATAAATAATGCAAAGCACGCATAATGAATAAAAAATCTTATTCTTTACGCAATATGATAATTAAAAACAGAATTGGATAAAATTGCTTATGAAAATAAAATTTATAAAATTTATCGTGCACTAAGAAAATAAATATGGTCAAAACTACTTGAATATGGCTATAAGTTCATAAGTGAAGTATATTCAAGATTTTCATAATTCATATCAAGGTTTGCCTTTGATATATATTTTTAGAATACAGTCTGAAAAGTATACAAATGAGGGATAAAAAATTAATATTTAAGGCAGGAAAAAGTTTAAACACTATTGAAACCAAAACCTGTTAGATTGCATGATGAAACAATTCAGAGCAGAAAAGCGATTATACGAAACATCATTGAATTTCAATTGGTAATCAAACAAGATTTGAGTTTCGTACATCTATCTTTCTCAGCTGTGATTCGTCAGATTCGAATTTACCTTTACTCCAGTTAATAATAATTTGCAATCTTTATTTATATAATTTTTCCACCCTATTTTCTACAATACTTTTAAAAGTACAGAAAAAAGATTGTCTTTGTAGACTACTTTTTAAACGAATTTACGTTTTACATTCTCATAGATATCAAAAAATAATTTTAAGAGAAACGTTTCGGTTAAAGGTTTTTTTCAATTCTTTTATTTTTTATAAGCGGAAAATATTTTTCACCAATAGTATAAAAGTAGGGAAATTTTTTTTTAATTTTCTTTATTAATTTAAATTAATTTATTTTTTGCCATGTTCTAATTCATTAATGATGCATTACATTTTTTTCAACTGTAAAGTTAAAACGTTCAAACCCATTATATAATTTTCCGCTTCATGGTGATATTTTAAAAACATTTGATTAATATAGAAAACTTGAAAAGTGAGCGAAACGTTACCAATATTTATTAGTTCAAAGACTTTGCCTAATTCGTAAAGACAGAAAATGAATATTCAACCTTTTAACAAATGAAAATAGTATGTTTATGACAATATTTTAAATTATAATTTTCATTTATAATGTACTCGATATTTACGCTTTAAATTAATAATTGTACTCATTTAATGCAGTATATTTGCATTCATTTAGAGTTTCAAATTTATTTATTTATTTTTTACAAATGGAAATAATAGTTACGAAAAATATTTGATCATTAAAATTGCGTAAAAAAAAAATCATTTCCAAAATTTGACAGTATTTTAAGTTTGGACGATTGTAGTGATTATAATAGTTTTTTAAGACTTTATAAATGCATAAAATAGGACAAATCAAATTCATTTCTTTATGGGCATTATTCGCGTTGCGTGTGATTTGTCATTAAAACAAAAATAAAACATGTTTTATTTTTGCGCAATAACGAAAAACAACAGTATATATATGTATATATACTGCTTTAACACAATCTCAGTATACAATTAAACAAAACTAATTACTGGTTTAACTGCCGTAAGAGCATTTATTGTAAATTAATATAGATCAATATTTTATGTATTGATAACACGAGTACTAAAAACGCTAAAAAATCTATAAAAAAATATAAAAAAAACAGCAATTTCTGAAACCAGTTGTTATCAGTTGCATCAAATGGTTTTTTTAAATGTTTGCCTCTTTTTATTTGTTCAATATTTATATACTATGATCAAAACTGATATCAAGATTGACATAAGCAAGAAATTTCCATTTACTTCCTTCCATCTCCTTTGTAAGGCAATAAAAGAGGAATAATTATTTAAAGATCAACATTTAATGAACATGAAAACGCGTATTTGCCATAAACATGCATCAATTTTTTATCAGTTATCATCGCTGATAATATCAAAGGAAAAGTGTAAACATATAAGTATTTTAATTTTCACATAAATATTTTATGAATGATTTAACAAAAATATTCTGGAATATAGTTCAACCTTGTTCTGATGTGTTGATTAAATTTTTTTTAACAATCGGAATGTTTATGTTAACTATGCTAGTAATAATAGTAATATTATTAAGAGAGATAAGAAAATCTCATAATATCTTTTTTAAATTACTCTTTCCTGTTCTTGATATTTCACATAGTTAAAAATTAATGATAAAAAAATTCTGGTATTAAGTTTAACTTTCGGAAAAATATAGTATTATTTTAACTTATGACTAAAGGGAAATAAATAAATTCGTAAATATTAAAAATTACTTAAATAAATTTTTAATTCTTTTTTAAAAATAAATTTTTTTTCTTTCTCTGGTAGTAAGCATGAGTGCAAACATTTAATGCCTAACTTTTTTTTTCAAAAAGATATTTTTAATATGACAGTGCATTCTAAATATTTTGCTGCTTATAGAATCTAGTATAAAAAGTATGATTATAGAGTTGCATTTAGATATAAAAAGACAAAATTTATGCACAGATTAAAAATTAAGACAAAAATGTTTAGAATTTTTAATTTTAGGTTTAATTAATTAATTTTAAGTTTAATTAATGAATTTTAAATTAATTTCAAGAACTTTTAAATGTTTAAATCGCAATCTCACCTCTTCAAAAATGATTCAATAAGCGTTTTAGTTGGGTTTCATATTAAAATAAGCTTTAATCATACTAATATACTTCTCATAATATACTTTTTCAATCATGAAAATACTTTTGTTTAAAATTCGCTAAATTTAGCTTTAAATAAATCTTTTTGTTCTAAAACGCAAAACGAAATCTTTTTAAAAAAATAATAATAATAGAAATTGAAAAAAAAAACTAGAGATTATTTTTAACTGCAGAAGTATAAGAAATCAATAGGATTTTTCTTGAGAATAAATTTTCAAATGATGAAATATACCTTTTAAATACTCAGGAATGTATTAGATAAGGAAATGCTCTCAAATGTATCGAGTGTACTTGGCACAAATTCAAAAATAATAATAATAATAAAAGAAAACAATTGAAGGAAATGAAGAGTCAATTAAAAACAAAAGAGACGTTACCTACAGTCCTACATAAGAGCACTACCTCTTATCTTCCGAATCAATAGTTTAAATATTACTTATTTTTGACAATCGATGAAATGACAAATTACTTATTGTCCTTAATTGTATTAGATATCGTCCATTTAACATCTTCATATTAGTAACATGAACGTTAGATATTGATATATTTATTATAAATAATAATTTATGCAACTTAAAAATGCAAAGGATTTTACATAAATTCTTTAAGATGGCGAACTATTTCGAGAATCTGTAATAATTTCTCATTATGACAATTGAAAAAAATTAATAAAATTTTATTTTATTTTTGCAAACGTATTTACAAACGTCACAGCTTATATGAAACGCTTTTAAAATATTTATCTATTTATGATTTAGGGTTTATTTCGTTTTAAATAAATATACTTTTAACTTAAATATTTAAGGAACGTAGCGTAAGAAGGTACCTAGCGATATATGAAAAGATTGTTTTCAAATCACTATATGATGAACTGGATCTATACAGCATAATTATTCTCTGTATGTTAAATTAAAAACATAGATCTTAATTGATGTATGTTGGAAATTGAGTTTGCAAACACCTTTATACAGCTGATTTTAAAAATCAATGATTCAAAATTCATTAATATCTTTTTTTAAATCTTTAATCACTAAGTTCCTAGTTATTATAAGTAGTTACCTCTTACTCAAATATATACATGTATGATAAAAAATATAATTACTGGAAATTATCTGAAAAATGTAATTTATTCTCTTTTATTTCTCTCGATTCTATAATTAATGGATAATGAGCCATCAACCTTAATCGCAGTAATTTCTGATATTTTGTCAGACCATAAAGAAGACTAAAATATAAAAGATATAGCATTTTTTAAACTTGTTAGAGCAATACTAATAAATGTTTATTTCTTAAATTCTAAAATAAAAATCAGTGCACCTTACCTTACATCAATAAACATAATTTCTATTTTATATCATACAAGATAAAGTCTGAATGTTAAGTATATGGGCAAATTATTTTTCTCTCCAAAATTTAGTTACTATAATAATAATAATTAATTGCAGAAAAAAATACTTACATTTAACTGATGAATCCTTAACGGTAAATTTTTTAAAGAAATGGATGACACATAAATAAACTCAAAAAAATTGATTCATCATCAAATAATATTACAGTGCGAATGTGCTACAGTTTTAGTAATGTGCTGAATGTAATATCGTAATGTAATATCATATTATCATCTAATCTAGTTTATGAAGAACGAAAATATGTTTCAACTTAGCACTTACATTAATTTTGTAACCAATTTGAATAAAATTATAGCTTAACACACGTGATTTACGTTGTAAACCCAGCATGAAAAGAACCTTAACTTTAGAACTGTAATAATAGAACTTTAACTTTAGACCAGTATTTTTCTTTAATTCTTGAAGATGGCATTTATTTGTACAACTTTTAATGTATAGGGCTCGAAGAAAAAGAATCACCCTAAATAACTTTTGATTTAATGACTACACGTACTAAGAGAACATTTTATTGGTTTAACTAATCAAACAACTTTCTTTAAGACGGATTCAGATTTATGACTTCCAAATAACGGGAATAAGTAACAATCTGGAAAATATGGTCGCAATAGATCAGGAACGAGAGCAATCAAAAACTTGGACCTCTAAAGATTAATTTCCTTTTTTGAGTATTTCCCAGTGTTCAATGAAGCTTTGTTTAGCGAATCTGGAAAAAACGTGCGTGCAGTTTTTTCGATTCATTTAAATAAATTTCGGAACATATTACGTAAAATATAATACTAAGTCGAAACTCCTTCGACTGCCCTTCTTAATAAAGTAAAGAATCATATTTTCCAGATTGCGGCTAGGCTTTTAAATCTAAAATCTACACAATTCAACTCAAATAAAAAATCTACACTGGATCAAAAATCTGAATCCAGCAAAAAAAAAAATTTAAGTTTATTCAGAGGAGAACGTTTTTGTGCCCGATTTCGTGACCTAAAATATCGTTTTCTCTAATCAATTAGCATATTTAAGTTTAGGTAATCCTCAAACCGTTGAGATTGAGTTTCAAGGATTGAAAATCCGTTTAAATCAAAAGTTATCCTGGATGTTAACTTTTTTAATTTTGTACACTCTTCATTTGAATATTTAATTTTATTGGTAGAGACAATAAATCAATATATAAGTTTTGTTTTGCATTTCTTTAGTTTCCACTGTTCTACACTAATGGCTTATGGTTTTTCCACTACATAAGCCATTAGTGTAGAACAGTAGAAAATCCGTCATTTTTCCACTACATTTTCTTCAGAAACTTATGTAGTAAAGGTAAAAAAGAAATTGTGTCATCCTTGTAAACAACAACAACAACAGCGGCAATTGCCAATGCGATGCTACGTGCAATAAAAAAAGTCAAGGAATTTCAATCCGCATTTATGAAAGCATTTTTCTATTTATTTACTTCACGCAAAACACATAAACAAGAGATCTTTTATGAATGCCCGCATACAAGATAAAAATAAATGTCCTTTTCCCTAATTTAAATTGCTTTCATGTTCTTTTCGCCAATAAACAATAACATTTTTATGATCTCCCTTGGGTGCAACGTGTCCGTGTTAATCCTCTGAAATTCGTTAAAGGAAAACAGGAATTCTGATTGATGTATCCTCATTTGTGATGCAAATCACCGAATCCGCTAATTAAATGTTGTTTAGATAATGTTTGTTTAGATCAATTTTATTAGTTTAAATTTCAGATTGTTTATCAATACAGTTTCTCGTGCGGACAATGTCCGGTCACATATCTAAGTTCAAAAGGGCCAAGAACGGACAATAACTCATTATTTCGAACGAAGGTATTCTTCTTTGGAAGAGGGAAAACTTTCAGTTCCTTATCTAAAGTCGGTTACAACGCTAAATCAGTTGAACGTTTTAAAATGTTTTAAGATTTAACTGCTTTAATATATTAATGTTCCAATCACCCTGATTAAGTAGAGCATTAAATTCCTACGCCTTAATACCTCGTATAATAATATCTTCACTGTTAATAGAATAATAAATATTGAAATAATTAATTTAGTATTTAAATAATAAACATTTAAATAATTAATTTACTGTTTAAATAATAAATATTTAAGCAATTTATTATTTAAAAGATAAATATTTAAATAAGTAATTTATTATTTAAATAATAAATATTAAATAATGAATTATTTTCAGTCGTTTGTACTTTTTGTTTAAAATTATTTCCAACCATTAGTACATTTGTTTATAATTATTTTAAATTTATCCTATACTGTTATAAATGTTAAATATCTAAAAATGGTAAAACTTAAGTTTATTTTTACAGAATTGAATTAACAGAAAAAAATAATCTTTATTTTTATTAGCTTTGAAAGATAAGCATTTTAAAGATAATTATGCAATTTTTGATACTTCAAAATGATAAATAATAACCCCCCCCCCCAAAGAAAAAAAAATTAATTTTGAGAACAGAAAAAATTTTAGAAAAAAATGTCTCTTCAAACGAGATTTATAAGATTTTCAATAACTTATCCAAGTGACGATGCATTATTTCTTTTTCAGGCACCTTTTTTAGTAGTTTTTTTAATAGTTAGAGTTAATCAAAGTGATTGTGAAACAAAAATCTTAACTCGCGATTATTATTGCTGCGTACATTTTTAATCTTTTTAAATTAATAAATTATTAATTCTTGTTTTGTCTGTACCTACTTTGTTTTGTCAATATATAATGTATTTCAAATGTCTGAAATTCCTTTTAATAAAAATATTAAAAGTGTGTTTTATCTAAGCCACTGTATGGTATTAGTCACCGACCTTAAGAGTCTATAATTTATGCAACAGGAAATATTGCAACAAGAATCATTTTCATTATTTTCGTAATGCAATATACAACTAAGTTTTATTGTTTAAAAACAATTATTAATTCTTTTTAAGTATTTCGTTAAACATATTTATTTGAATCAGAATTTAAGGGTTTTTCAACATAAGATTTGTAGTTTAACCACAAGGTTTGTGAAAGTTACTTACAGCAAAATTTTTTTGAATTTTTGAATTTTTTTAAAAAAAAATTTAAATTGCTTCATATGTTTTTTCTCTCAAAATGTGTGTAAACTCCATCTTATTTTTAATTAGCTGCAATATTTCAAGCATTTTTTATAGTAGCATCGATTTTTTCTTCATTATTCCATAAGCTTTTATAATTAATTTAGTATTCCATTAGCTTTTATTGACTTTTTTATTTTAAAAAATTATTAAAAAAACTTAAATCAATTAAGCAATTTCTTACTTTTGAAATTATATTTTAAAAAGTTTTCATTTTCTAATTGAAACTTATTATGAAAGTTTATTTTAGTAAAATTGTGACTGTTATCAAACTAAATAATGGTAAATTTATTTGAATATTTTAAATATGAAATTTGTTAAGTTACTATATGAAGTTTATTGCTTACAATTTATTAAGCGTGAAAGGATGCATGGTTGTCATTATAAACTTATTTTCACCAAATACACTTCTGAATTTGTGCAACTTTTCCCCAACGTATGTAATTAAATAAATTTCAAAAGAATGTAATTAAAACCAGGTATTTAATAAACGATAATTATCTACGCAAATGCTAATTTTAGTGAAATTGTGACTGTTATTAAAATAAATAATGCTAAATTTATTTGAATATTTAAAATAGGAAATTTACTACGTGAAGATTATTGCTTACAATTTATTAAGCGTGTAATAATGCATGGTAGCCATTAAAAATTTATTTTCATTAAATAAACTTCAGAATGTGTACAACTTTGTTCAGAAGTTTTGCAATAGTTAATATGCATGCTTTCAAAATTTATCAGCTTCGTGCAATTCATTTGGTTAGTCAGCAGTTTCAAAGCTTAACGTCAAAAATGAATTATAGTTTTAAAAGAATATATTTTTTAACTCATTTTTAAAAGAATATATATTTTAACTCATTTTAACTTATTTTTACCTATTAATTTCGTTTAAATTTTACCTATAGCATCATGTCGCAAGCATTCGGTTGATAATGTTTTTTTTTTCATAACTGAATCGAAAGTAACTTTTCGTATTGCAGGGAAAAAATCTAAGTTTGTTCATGATTTGCAAATGAAAATTGATTTGCAATCAACAAATATTTAAATGAATAAAAATCATTAACATTTAATTAGTTTTCAGGTGCCAAAACTCACAAAACTTGTCCTCCAAATTTTTGGAAATATTCAACACTAAAAAAGACAAAACGTAAACAACAATTTTCAATTGTTGAAATACCACAAATTTGGTATATTTTATTCATTTAATTACTTATATTGTGCCTGCAATTTTTAAAGGATTTTAAATTAACGGATAAACAATAAAAATTATAAACAAATAAGCAGATAAGCAACAAAAAGAACAAACAATAAAAAATATATATATTTGTTGTATTTTTTCATTTGAGTTACATTTAATATTAATTCACAAAATATTGTAACCATCTTTTTAACTTGGTGATGTAATACAGAAATTATTTTTTAGAAGTATATTTATAAAAAAAATGCTAATATTTTATAGCAAAAACAAATGCACTCCTAAAATTAATAAGTAAAAACACATTACACCAACCTACCTATGTAGGCCCCTTTGCACTTGAAGAAACAAACTACTATTTAGTTACCTTGCATTCTGGGGCTCTCAAAAAGGTATTTTAGCTTGTCCTCCGATTGGCGCAAACTTTCTTTAGTTTGGCGAAATTATTTCACATTCGGCGCCTATTTCAAAGCCAATTGGGATTAGCGGGTCCGGTGTTCATGGTCAAGGTCGTTCGTTTGCTTTGCTAAGCTGTATCAAATCATTAAATCAAGATCTCTTGTCTTTCCATTCTCTGAATCGCTCTACTGAATTTCTGTGCGAGATTGGAACGCGTTTAATTTACAGCGTGAGAATAGATTATTTTTCGAACGATTAATTTTTACAGTGTGAAACAGAGCAGAATAGGCCAATAATAGAAAATTAACTTCCGTGATTCTTTTCTCTAAGGAAAACATTTCACACTTCTTTTTCTAAATTAATGACTATTTCTGTCGGCTTACCTATTTTATAATTATCCAAAACACTTACTTGAAAATTACCATATTTAAGCATTCATAATTATGCTTTTGCTTTCACTTAATTTACATTTCTATAATTTATTTTCACCTCATACATATAAGTACTTATAAAAACAAGCAGAAAATTATTTAAACGAATTTTTTGCATATAATTAATTAAAATTATATATCATTATTCTTTCAAAGCAGAATACAAAAAAATAATCTAATTAAAATATATTATCTTGAATAAAAAATGTGCATTAATATAATCAATATTGAAAATTGTAGAGAAAGCAGTAAAATATTTATTAACTTAATTATAATGACACAAATAATATATTTATATAATACATTGCATAAGCATTAAATATACTATAGTATGCATTTATGCGTTATAAATATTTGTAGATGCATTTGAGCACTGCTATTAATTGGTTTCAAATATGTGAAATTTGTTATACAAATGAAAGATAATTGTAGCTTGAAATTGTAAAAATTATCTTATTAAAAGGAAGTATGATAAGTATTTGGCAGTTATGTTTCCGGAATAACACAAGACTGTATTCCAAAATGAAACAAAACTTTCTTTTTTAAGAATGGTAATTATATTTTTTTCATAACTAAAAAGTTTAAAAAAAAATCATTACACAATTGTTTGTAACAAAATAACAATTAATTTTACTTAATATCCTAATTTTTCAGTGATAGTAAGTAATTAATTTCAATTTTTGAGGGTAACACACATTTTCAACAAATTAATTATATTTTAAATAATAATATTTAGAGCTAATGACAACAGCTAGCATACTGTAAAACAATTCAAATCAAATTACGATATGAATTACCGTTATCATCCTCAAAATCCATTTTTGCCGTAAAATATTATATCACAATTTTTATTTAATTAAAGTGATTCAGTGATTTTATAGTAATTATTACTGTTAAAATAACGGTATATCAAATCTTTTGTTCCTTAACATGCTTCGGAAAAAATGGATTTTATGGTAAGAAATACTGGTATTAGTGCCGGTAGTTTTTATTGTAATTAGATTCGGAATTCTTTACAGTGTATTGCGCTGCTACGTATCCAGAAATGATTATAAAAAACTGGTAGGAAAAACATTTCGCTTGAACCTTTCTTTCGAGAGAAGTAAATTAGCTAGAACTACTACTTCTTGCTCACAGTTTTAACTCATATACAGTAAATTATACCCGTTAATAAGTAGTGGTAACCAGGAAGCATTTTCTTTCCCCGATGGAAAGGTAGGCTTTGAAATGTTCATATTACTATTTTTCATCTTTTACTACCATTTTGCTACCAGCCCTGCTTGCACACATCCTTGTGACAAAGAGAGTCAATATTTCGTATACATTAAGAGTTTTACATACTGTCGTACAAAAGAGATAAACATTTTTTTTTAAATACTGAATATTGTTTTTAAAAAGAATAGTTTCTGTGACGTAAAAAGAAAAAAAATTGAACAACATCATGCGCTAGAATAATTTATTTTGAATGCTAATTTGTCATCTTTAGTATAACAGATACTCACTGTGTCTTTGGAAATAAAAATAAATTTTTTTTACGCTTAAAGTTAATTACTACATTATTTACACATCCATCAAGACATACTTACAGTCAAAACAAGTAATTGATCGAATAAACCAACTGACAACGCTGAGAAAATAATATGTAAATGGTGCAGGGCTTGTCAATCAAAAATGCCAAGAGTTGATATTTGAACAAGGCTTCTTATTTATTTCTACCAGATAAATGTTGACTGGAACTAGATTCATAATAGCTAAAGAAATAATTGTAGTTTTGTTACACCATTGACAGGTATTCCTTGTTATCAACATTTTTTATATACCAAGAAGCTATTATTAAAGAAATTCGAATCCTACTTCTTGAGTGCATGAAATTGGATAAATCATTAAAGTGATTAGTCGGCATTTATTCAAAGACAAGTTAAAATGCGATAAGTATGATCAAAAAATAAAACAATCGTGTCTAAGAAGGGGCAGAAAAAAATATGATGTTTTGATGGCTTTGTATCAAGTGTGTTGTTCGTTGAACAAGTTTGAACAGTTTGTTTTTAGGTAATTTAAATTATCTTACCATTTTAAATACCAGTTATCATGCAATAACAATCATGATTATTTCGTTATACTCTATAATAAAAATTCCTGATCAAATGACGCCATAAAGTACCGTTACTTTGGGTACATCATCCGTAAAATATGTTTTACCGTAATTTATACATAAATATTCATTTAATTAGAGTGATTCAGTGATTTTACGGTAGTTATTACTATAAAAATTGTGGTATATCAGACTTTTTGTTCTGTAATATGTTCCGATAAAAATGAATCTTATGATAAAAAGTACCGGCAACCTGAGTGCTGGTACTTTTTATCGTAACTTGATCCAAAATTTCTTACGGAGGTGCGTTTTATCCTTGTAAATTGTTCTTTAAACTAGGTATTTACTATTTGTGGTTTTCATCGCACTTTTGTGAAACAGCCGGAGTTACATTAATTAAGTAATTATCTTAATAATCTAAAAATGAAATGATTTTTGCATCACAAAATATAAGTTAAGCAAAAATAAGTAAATTTCAGGAGAGGAAGGGTTAGTAACTTGGACATTTCTCAATACAATAGGACACCCTATCAACTGTGGCACCCCTGGAGGAACTTTAATTTTTAAGAATTATAAAATTGACGATAATCATTTAATAAGTTGACAGTGCAATTTAACAGCGTAATTACCTCTTGATTAGCTTTACAGTTGTATAACTTAGTGAATAAAGAAATCATTTTTATTTAAAATAAAGTGATTCTATTGCAATAAATAAACATTCTTCAACACTTCTCTTCAATATTTGAGAACATTTTTCTTTTTACTTTGTTAAAGCCAAAATACTAATTTCAAATTATAAAATGCTAAATTTAATTGCTTAACATGAAAAATAGTTTCGTAATTCCTTTTCTGAATTTATAAAAAATCATTTTTTGGTATTAAAAAAAAGATTTTTTCAAATAATGTTTGCTAAACATTTGAAACACTTTTAGAAATTATTTAATTGTTTTTCTTTACCAGTGACATTCCAAAAGAAGTGTTGATTTCTAAAACGTATGGATCATCAATTTTCTTATTGTTTGAAGGAGACATTGCTACGCATGAAGAATTATACCTTTACAATTAAAAGGATTATTAGTAGCCTTCAATTTTGAGTTCATTTAGAGTTTTTACAATTAAATGGTAATATTTTTAATCAAACACTTATTTTATAACGAGTATTTCTGAAATTATAAAAAGAAAATTTCACTTTCATTTTAAAAATGCTAAAAAAATCTCTAAACATATAAAATTATTAAAATAAAAATTAATTTTGCTTCACGTTTATTTAATAGTGTTAAGAAACATTAAATATTTGTACATTCTAAAAGCGCAAAAAATTATGTAATAAAAATTAATTCTCTTGTACGTACCTATATCTCGAGCTATTATATCAATTCACCTTTTATTTCAAAATTACTCAGAAACTCTAAAAATTATGAAAGTCTTATAGCAAAAACTAACTTTGCTGTACATTTATCTCTTATTAAAAATATACATATTGATTATATACATGTTGATTCTAAAAATATTTATGTGATGTGTTTTATGTTTATTCATGTATACTAGATACAAAATGCTTATATAAAATGTTCTTTTTACAAAAATAATTCAAAATTATGCATGTTTTGATACAATGAATGATCTACTACTTCTCTTTAAAGGTTTTCTTTAAGTAAATCAACAAACTAATCAAATTTATTAATTTATGTTATTAAATAAGCTCATCATGATATAAGTAGTCTTGGCCTATAATGATAAACTTGGTGTAGCTCTTCGTTCAGGTCGCATTGCATAGAATCTTCTGATTACTCAAAAACTTTTTACTATTATATAGAACTCGAATTAATTTGGAATTCTCATCAGGATTACGCCTGCATTCATATTTAAAATGTTTAACGGAGTTGATTTTTAAGTAATGCAAGGAACCGAGCCAAATTTTTAGAAAAACGTGAATTAATATCCTCAGTACATAGTAAAAATTTTGGTGTTATATCTCTTAAAATTCGATGTCAAATAACTCAGAGAAGTGTATGAAGGAACACTTTATTTCAAGCTAACACCAAATCTAACTTCCATATACAATTTAAAGGATGAAAACAAACCTAAACACACACAATGAAAAAAGTTTATCCGAAGTTTTACCGAGCAAGGAATTTCACAACAGCTTTTGGAGCGTATTTACTCTAATTGGCTTAAGAAGTTACCAAAATCCATCAAATTAGAAAAAAATGAAACTAGTAAAGAAATGAAATTAAATAATATTAAGAAAATTTTTATTTACATAAAATTATTTAGGAAGTTTTAAAAATAAACAAATTTGAATCTTGTTATAAATTTGTTTCAACGGTGAAAGAAAAGAAGTTGTTGAAGGAAATAAAAGGAAAGGTCAAGTTATGATGCCACAATTCACAAATAATCCGGTCAGTTCTTCCTTTTGTTTTTAGCTCATGATGTCGATAAACAACTTCGATGCTTATTGAGTATTTGATGAAATAATATTATGAGTTGGCTTACGAAA